CACCTCGCAGACACAAGCTTGTTGCCATCCGCATCGACTTCATCGCCGAACCTGTTACGGAAGGGCTGGAAGGCGAAGAATTTGTTCATGAGACTGGTATCGTATCCCTCCATCACAACGCAAAGCGAAATGACGAAAGAAAAGACGATGGCCTTCCACCAGAACCTCAAGGACTGTCGGACGGACATGTTGTGCTCATTGTTGATAGCCGCGTTGGTGTCGTCTCCGGTGTTGTGTCCTTGTGTCGAGGTGACCCTTTCGGCAGCCACATGGCCAGTAGTCTTCTCTACTGAAGCCATATTGAATTGAGTCCAGAGTGTGCCCGGTATCAAAGATGGGTCTTCGATGTTGATGGGTTGAGAAGATGCAGGTCAACCACATGTACGGATCTGCGGTCTAAATAGTCCCCAGCGCTGTGGTATGCATGCCTGACAGACGAACCCATTACAGGAGTCAAATGGCTAGCCCGAGAGATTGGGAGGCTAAGCCCCGGTAATGACCGAAATGGGGCAAGACCACGGTGACTTGCGGGGAAGGAGACTCGTAACAAGAGTGCCCATGGGGAGACGAGGCGTCAAGTGCGCAAATGAAGCCAATCAGAACGCTGACGAGGTTTGCCCAGGCACCAGATCGCGAGAGGATTTCAAGAAAGCTTTCCTCGAAGTTTTCCGCCGCTAACATCGTCACTTGGCGGACCCGTCCCGGCTCTAGTGTTGCAAAGAAAGCCAGGGCCCAGAAGTAGGACTTGCAGCAACCCTTCTCTTCTCATTATACGCTATAACATAAGATACAAGTTCTCATAAGACGACGGAAGTAACGTAATGCTCTGAGTAGGACAAAATGCTCGATTGAGCCTACCAGAGTGTTTTTGTTGTTGTTTCGTGAGAACTGCCCGCTGTCAGCCCGAGCGTGTTTCCAACTTCCGATGCCACGCTAGCCGAGGCAATGTGTCTGCACGAGCCAAGCAGACCCGCTTTCTGACCCCGACTTGAGCTTTCCACATGAGTTTTCCACGTTCCATTCACGTTCCATCCACTTCATCCCCAGGTTCTTGCGCAAGGCCGACAAGCTATGCGCAAACCATCCGCCTGCCAAGCGTGCCGGTAAGCATCTCGCACGTTGTCAGTGGAGGTGAGCGACCGCTAATTCGGTTGGAAGTACCCGACGCCGAAAATGCATCTACCCAACAGGCGGGCTCGCAACGGCATGCGAGTATTGCTTGTCACATGGCCTGCAGTGTCTCCAAGGCCCGCCAGAAGGAGGCTACTATGCCAAACGCCGGGCCAGACTTCAAGAACTGAGTCGGGTACATCGCGCTCTCCCAGACCAAGCGGAAGCACTGCCAAATCAAGGTCATGGCGATCTGCCACCGACAGCTTTGAGGCAGGCGCTGGTGGAGCTATACTTCGACTACATTCACGACCAGTTTCATTCCATGTATCACAAGGCGTCGTTCATGGACGATGTCGCAAACAACCGGGTACCGTCTATCGTGCTTTTCGCGATATGTGCGCTATCTGCCAGGTTCTCTACCGACAGCTTCTTCGACGGAACTGATCCGAGAGAAAGAGGCGAGGTCTACCGCAAGGCAAGCGAGAGGTTGTTCAACATGCGCGACCTCACACCTACCACAATTCAAGCATGCGTTTTGCTGGGAGCATACGCTGCCGCGGGTGGTGAGACTGATGTCGAAAACATGTACTACAGCATGGGTGGACGACTTTGTCTGGCCCTCGATCTACCGAATCGACCCGTCACGAGTCTGGTAGAACGCGAAGTCAACATCAGAACTTGGTGGACACTGTGCATGGTAGACGTTTGGTCATCTACTGCAGTGAGACTACCGCGAATCATGCCGTTTGACACTGCTGTGCCTCTTCCAATCGATGAGATACCGTTCTCTATGATGAACGACGGGGCTATCAGCGATCAAACGCATGGCATCACCTCACCTCTTCTCGCGGAGATGATCAAGCTCAATCGGATTCTGGCGAGGATCATCGACTTCAATCGACTGTGCGTGTCAGAACACCTTGAAGGCCTACCGCTTGAGAAAGGGATACGCGAACTATCCCGCGATCTCGATATTTGGCTGGAGGAAGTTCCGCATCATATGCGTGACACGCCAGCGAACCTAACAGCGTTCGCGTCGCGTGGCCTTGGGCGCATGTTTGTAGCTGTATATCTCGGCTACTACCACTACGGATTGCTCCTGAACTATCAATTCTTGTCGTCTTCCATCGAAGCATCACCCGATTCCGGAAGATATGCTGATGCTTGCAAGCAACATGCCGCCCGACTCTGCGCCCTCGTCTACCGCTCACAGTCAACACCGGGAAGCGAAGTCCTGTATCCGGCGGTTTCACATATCCTCGTCGTAGCTTCCACCGTTCAAATCCACACCTTACTCTTTTCTGGTGATGAAAGCCAGATACGCATCTCAAAGACCAGATTGGAACGCAACTTCGAGATGCTCCTGCGGTTGAAGACCTATTGGCCGAGTGTCGACGGTGCAATGAGTCGTCTTCGGGCGTTTCACCAGACCTGTCTCCGAAGCAAAGAGACCAGCTTTGTACTTGATCGGTGGCTGTTGCGCTTCCTGGTCCAATTTGCCCCTCATATGGAGCTCGAGCCAAGGGATAACGACCCCGAGTACGAAGCGTTGCTCGCATTGAGCAGGCAATCCCCATTGTCGTGCTATTCAGGCCTGTCCATGTGATCATGCGCGACCGAGACTCTTAGCAGCACGCTGGGAATCCTGGAGAACGAGGACGGCAGCGAAGTGGTTCATTACGGCTCAAGCTGGTGGAGCCGAAATTAGCGTCGCGAAACTTACGAGCTTTCCTGGAGTGTGGAGCCCCAAGAGAGCCAGGGCTTGGCGACAGGGTCCGTCGCTCACGATTGCGGTCCACTCGAAGTAGTACACACGTGTAAAGCTGTTTAAGAGTCTGAATTGTGCTTCTTTGCTCGAAGCAAGAATCATCTTCGCACTCCGGTCATGGCTCTATCACGCAGCACCATTTTCGTGGTCACGACGCTGCTGGGCAGCGCGACAGCGATCAACAATGGCCTCGCTACTACCCCTCCAATGGGCTGGGTAAGACATTCGTATTCTATTCTTGAATTGTCATTAACAAGATCAGAACAACTGGAACGCTTTTGGATGCGACGTCTCCGAAGACCTACTCCTTACAACCTCCGCACAGATTGTGAGCTTAGGCTTGCGAGACTTGGGTTACAACTATGTTGTACTGGACGACTGTTGGCAGAACCCAAAGGGTCGAGACAAGAAGGGAAAGCTTCAACCGGCTCTCGACAAATTCCCCAACGGTCTGAAATCTATCTCAGACCATCTGCATGGCCAAGATTTCAAGTTTGGCATGTACAGCAGTGCTGGTGAAATGACATGTGCGAGATTTGGTAAGCTGGATCGTGCAATTCCGCATCTTGCAACAAACTGATATCAAATAGAGGGATCATTAGATCATGAAGTCGACGATGCAGAGAGTTTCGCAAGCTGGGGTGTCGATATGTTGAAGTACGACAGCTGCTACCACATGGGTCGTGTTGGCACACCTTCAGTGTCATTCAACCGCTTCAAGGTCATGTCGGATGCTCTGAAGGCCACTGGAAGGAACATCCTTCTTAATCTGTGCAACTGGGGAGAGGATCTTGTCCACACAGTAAGCATCACATGATAAAATAACTCAACGATGTTCAGTCACTTACCATGTACAGTGGGGTATGAGCATCTCAAACAGCTGGCGTATCACGGGCGATATCTACGACTCTTTCTCTCGCCCTGATGATCTCTGCGGATGCAACACTGTATCTCCAGGCGACGTAAACTGCGTTGCACCAGGCACACATTGCTCAGTCCTCTTCATTCTCAACAAAGTCGCTCCCTTTGCTGATCGCAGCATCCCCGGTGGGTGGAGTGATCTGGACATGCTCGAGGTCGGTCAAGGCGGTATGACCGACGAAGAGTACAAAGCACACTTCGCTCTCTGGGCCGCAATCAAGTCTCCTCTCTTCCTCGGAAACGACCTGCGCAACATGCCAGCTTCCGCTCTTACCATCATCAACAACCCAGCCATTATTGCGCTGAGCCAAGATCCCCATGGACGTAGCGTAACGCGCGTGCGAAGGGACACGGAAGGTGTAGCGAAAGACGAGTGGGGGATGGGCGAGACGCACGTGTGGGCAGGCCACCTACAGAACGGCGATGAAGTCGTGATCTTGCTCAACGCTGGTGGCGAAGACATGGAGATGAGCGTCTCCCTCGCTGAGATCTTCATCCCATACGGACCCGGTGGATCAGCCCCACACGTAAAGTACGACTGGGCGATCCACGATCTCTGGGCTCATCGCATGCCCGATGCGACAGCGGAAGAGCTCCTCGCAGCGGCGTCTCACACCGAGCGAGAATCGATCCTGTCAAAGGCCAATTGGTACAACGCCACCGAGACCCCTTACGCCAAGGGTCTCGTTCAGGAGGATCCGCGACTATTTGGCGAGAAGATCGGCGTTGTTGAGGCTGGTGGTAGGCTCAAGGCAGACGTCAAGAGTCACGCTGCTCGCGTCTTCCGACTACGAAGAATCGCGCCAGAGGACGATCAGTTCGAGGCGAAGAGTATTGCTAGAGAAGACGGTAACGAGAGGGATGAATTGTAATGTTGAGGCGATTCGTAAGGTAGATTCGGTGGGTCAAGAGATAGCTCACCTTGATGGAAAACAGAAAGGGACATAAATTCTTAGACTTGCGATACTTCTCATTCGCAATAAATCGTGTGAATTGTGGAAGGTGTGGATGGCTCGTTATCTCCAGGTCATCACAGTACCATGGAATGGAGTGGATAGAACCAGAGTATGGACTTCTGGACTTTTCGAATATATAGCGATCTCGCTCTTCCTCCCTCCTACACATATTCACCCTTATACAGGCTGTCTCTGTGTTCTTTATCACACACACAGCAATCAAATCTACACCAGACGCAGCCATGACCAAGAACGCAAAGGTCATATTCCCGGCTAAAGCCACATCCGCAACCCAGACGACATCATGGGAATGGTCAGCTCCATACTTCGTTAAGCGAGCGCAGGAAGTTCAGGCCAGATTAGATCTCCAACGGCAGACTATGAATGATCTTCAGGGCCAGTATAAGAACCTCCAGAACCAGAATAGGAACCTTCAGGACCAGAAGAAGGATCAGAAGAAGAATCACGAACGCGAGTTACACACGTGCACCGGAACGTTTATTGTCGTTTTGCTCACCTTCGCCGCCTTCATGATATGTGGTTTTCTGCCATCTTCATCGCCCGAACATTGTTCATCTGCGCTAGAAGCGAAAGCAGTACAGATGACGGCCACGCCTACTACGGTCACAGTCACGCTGCCTATCGCAATCAACGCCGTGCCGACAATCGAGGCCGCATCAGCGATCAAAGCTACCTCATCAACCGAGGCGGCACAACCAACTAAGCCGGTAAGCTTTGGTCTACAACCACTCTCCCTAAAAACCGCCCTAGCATGCTAATGTCTCAAATAGTTCTGGAAAACCTTGACCCACGAGCAGATAATGTCTGTCATCCGCGACTATGATAAGATTCAAGGCCGATATCGAGACAACCAGAAGGCTTGGCAACGAGAACAAGATACGAAGCGGAAGGCCAACATGCAAAAAATGATCGCGCAGTGGGCGAAGAACATGGCAGAGAAAAGACGACGCGAAGAGGAAGCCCAAGAACAGGCCCGGAAACAATTGTGACGTCAGCGATGATGCTCTACACATCGAGGGTGAGTGCGTTGAAAACACCATTCCCGAGACACACTCGGTAGATTGTCGATTGAGAACTCTATGCAAAGCAGCGCAAACCCATAGATTGACTTCTTCTAAGCGCTAGTGGTCGTGCTTCTGGACCGGTCTTGAGACCTTTTAGAGAACAGGGCCTCGCGCCGCAATGACATCGTCGGATAACGAGCTAGGCGCCTACAGAGAAGCTAACGCTCCGCATTCTGTATTGCAGCAAATAGATATGAGTATACGTAATCTTCTACTCTGTCGAACTGCGTTGCTATGAATACTTCGGTTTAGGCCCTACTAAGGCTCCCACCTCATGCTTACAGTGTCGTATGCCTCAGAGCAATTCCTACACTTGCCCAGCTTGCAAGGCACTTCACTTCACAGTCCGCACGAAGCAACTCCCCGCTGGAAGCACCAGACCAACAGCACCATGAATACTCTTCTGGGAGAGGTACTCTACTACCCCAGCCCCGTAAAGCGACCGACGATACATCGTGCTTGTGAGCATAATACATATTTTCCGCCTTGTGTACTATTCCTCCTATTATCTTTTGTAGCATTGTGAGACCTCTATCTTTAGAATGTTAGTAGGCTACGCATCTACTACTATTTAGCATATTATATTGTATCATACTTTCTGTTTATTCGCTCCATCATCTTCACTATAAACACTCTTCCCCCCTCCCCACCTACTACCTTAACCCTATCAGCTACCCAGCTCTCCCCCTACAACACATAGATAATATCAATAAGCGCGAACCAACAAGAGCCGCTAATCTCTACGCCGCAGAGATTACAGAGAACGTTCGCAGTGCCACCTACTAGAAGAACGCCATCAAGCTCACAAGGGCAGAGTACTTTTAGATAAGCCCCTTAAACTAGAACACAACCCTTAACGTAAGCCGCAACAACAGCAGATCCAAAGACAAGAAAGCTGTTGTGAAGATGGCGGACACGATGCAGACAAACTAGCACGGCCTTTCCACCTGGGAAAGTCCTTCATCAAGGGTGGAACCGCATGGCACTACACAGAGGCCCATATCAATAACCCGTATTGTATAGAAACAACCTTGGAATGGTTAAACTTGGTAACCGAAATGAGAAGATATCCCAACAGATGGGAAACTCCAAGAGCGGCATGTGCTTACGAGCGAGTGCTTGGAGACCAGATTAACAACATTAAAGTCCCGAAGGAACTCTTTGTAGTTGACAGGTAACGAAGCGACATGCCCAGAAAGACCCCGTTCACTACAGCACTACCATTGACAGCCTCCGCCAGGCAGACGTTAGAAAGCTCGAGCACGTGATCAAAACGATCATCGACACTACTGCTTCTAGCTAAATCAGGGAGTCTTATTGATCACAGGAATACATCGAGGGCGGGACATGTTGACGGCAGACAACTACCAAGTATATGCTGGCAACCCGGTTTGCATGGTCCAGATGCCGACATTACAGCGATTCAATGAGACATCAGCGCAGTTTACATCTCGCCAAACTCTCCAAAAAGCGTACAAGAAAGCTATCCAAATCTACATAGGACACACAAGCTTAGGAGCAGCAGCAGATCTAGCAGAAGCCGAAGCTAAGCTCGAGAACGCAATAGAGAGGAGGATGCGACATAGACAGAGCTTTAAGCGGCTAGAGACCGTATAGAAAACCTCTAAGCCTATCAACGACAGTAGTTCCCGCAGCCTTGTCGAAGCAGAACAACTAGAGCTATACTATGCGCAGATAAGTCCCCACGCGAAGTTCGCTTGTTAGAACGCGAGGTAGAGCTAGGACGTCTGCATGTCCTTACTCTTAGGTCGGGAGCAGTAGCAGAGCTTAAAAATGCCGAAGCAGAACTGGGAACTGCAGCGCTCAAAGACTAAGTGACTTAGGTCAAACTGCAAAATCCTAAAGGACTAAGCCAAACACTACTACAATATTTGGATTACGACGTTCCTCTTACCATGTACCGCAAGGGATTCCTCTAGCTCGCAGAACTCACATTCTAGTACATCTTTAAGCCTCTAAATGCGATAGCTGTATGCGAGAGCGCCGTCACTACGTCCGTCATTCGCGGATCCATCGAGTTCCCCGAGAACACGGGAATAGCATATGCGGAGTTCAAGCGTACTAATGCTAAGTTGTATCCTCCGTATAATGGCTGGGAAGGGAATAGGCCTCGCTGGTGGGAGAGATGGGGAGGGAGGATGGTTTTGAGGATGGCGCGGGTACTGCGACAGCGCCATGATGCGCAACATGTACCACATCAGAACTCTTTACCTGAAGGCCTCGTGGCTCAGCACTTCCTGTTCCCCGAAGAATTACTACCGCATGCACGCATTATTCCAAGGTAGTAATGATACGCTACACATGAGACGCGACAGCGGACATAAAGACGCATCTACAGCTCATATTAGACGTAGTTATGTAGAAGAGAGTAGAAGTAGACAAAGAAGTCAAGACCGCCCTTTGCATTCATTCCTGCACTGAGCCTCTTACCAGGAAGCGTCACACGATGGAGAAGTCCACCGCAGCATGTCACCGCCTCCCGAGCGGCAGCGGAACGTGCATCCGCACCTATCGGTATTGTCATGAAGTGTAGAAAACGCGCGTTCCCTGCATGTTGCTAATGTCATACTCGTGTTACATAAATGCTTCGGGGACATCGTGATGACACTCATAGCTCACTTCGATAACCAAGTATCCTTTCGCGATGATCCAGTTGACATACTCAAATACTTGCTCTTCTGCGGGCATAGTATCCGGCCGGTCCATCTCGTCGTAATGAGACATCGCATTATCCAACGTCATTTGGAACATGTCTCCATCTTGTAAGTCTCGGAGGCTTTCTCTTCGGGGGATAGGTATTCCGAACTGACAGAATTTGGCGTGTTCATCCCAGCCGGCACGTATGTCATCAACTCTTTTCCACCATTTGCTTCTTGTTGGCTCTGCTCGAGGCCCAGGACACCGCACTGAACACCTCTGCCCAAAGAAACAGCAAGTATGCTCGCCACCCAGAAAATTGAACAGTTGGATTCGGGTGAAATCGTACACGTATTGCGTCTTCAGAGGCTGAGGTGGTCGGACGTTTTCGAGCCACTTGCGCACACAGCGTTTGGTCAGACCAATGCGACTTATTCTAGTCTCAGACATGAACTTGACAGGTGTACAGCCTGTGGGTGAGCATACGCATGTGCAATCGTCGTGAGGTATACCCAGCTCTTTTTGGACTGCTTCCATGTAATACTCCTGTGTGGGTACCGCATCGATATCGTGCTTGAAGACAGCTCCAGGGTATTGCAGTCGCTTGGCGTAGAAATGGAGAGCAGTTAGTCGTGCAACTTCATGCTCTGATCGCATCGGGATTCCTCTTTCTGTAAACCAATCTACCATCGCAAAATTGGCCATGAACCAACTCTGGAGAAATGGCGTCACGCCGCAGTCGTCGGGCGTGTCGATGTCGCGAAACCCAGCATTCCAAAACAAGTCTGCTGTTGCAGGCTCTAATTTAATCATACCGTGCATGTCCGAGAAGTTATAGAAGCTCTCCCCGTCAATCTCAAGGGCCTCAGGGACATCGATCCCATTTGATAAAAGGGCCTCAATGATAGACGGTGCCTTTTGTTCGTGAACTTTCCCAGGCGTTAGGTTGAGCTTGAAGAACAGGGTTGGCGGCAAACGCGAGCTGGCTAATTCAACAAGCCGTTTATGGCGGTCAATGAGCGCTGGGACAAGCAGATCGAGTATCTGTGATCTTTGCGGACCTTCCAAGTCTAACGCGTGTTGTAATAAGCTGTCATCGTGCGAAGGCGTGAAAAGCCCACAATCTGCACCAATCAAGCATCTTACGGAGTCAGTAAGGCCTAGGGCCACGGCTAGGTGTATAGGCCGCCGACCGAAGGTGTCCGCGGGATTGACGTTCACACCCCTCTCCACGAGCAGTTTAAGTCCAGTTGGCCATAGGACAGAGAAATGAACCGGGGCTAAGCCATTCACCGGAGATTTACGGTTCAAAATGGATAGCTTAGCCTTTTGGACCAGGCGCCGAAAGTGTCCCTCATTGCGTTGCAGGATCACTGGCACAATCTCACCAAGACTTAAAACTGGGAAATTTTAGTGATACTACTGCCTCTAATGGAGGGAAACGCACTGTCAATCTGATCTTCGAACAAAGACAGCTGCTGAGCCTCTTTGGGGAACCCGCGAGATCGATAGCTTGGAACCAAATTGGGCACGTAGGCTCTCGTGGAGTGACCTCCAGCATGTTTAATTCGTTCAAGAATGTCGATAAATAGCGGTCTCTTGTTGCCATGTCCGAAAAGATCCTGCGCGATCGTGTCTGCAAGCTGGTCAAATGTGGTGCCCTGGCAGGCTCCTTGGTATTCGAGGCTGTCGTCGCGCGTCGGAATCCTCAAAACGTTCGGGTCAGCCCCCATGTCCAATAGGAACTGAACGAGGACAGCGTATTCATCGCCAGCCCAGGATATGATGGGAGGAAAGGCGGTACATAGCCATATGATCTTCTATAGAGCGTGTCAACTCGACGTTGCTCGCGCCGCGCGCATCGGGCAACATACGTTTAGGAGAGTATTCCCATTGCTATCGGTGTCTAGCACAGAGGCTTCTCTGTCATCGAAAAACTGTTTTAGGGTGGCTTGGAGCTGAGGAATAAGTAAGTGGTGCTGCCCGCTCCTATATAGTTCCTCTTTAGCTTTCTCAATGGCACGAAATGCAGGTGATGTATTCGCGTCAACGAGCCTACTTGTACCTATCACGATTGGACTGATCGAGAAAGGGTTCATGGTCGACCAGTTCCGTACTCGGGTGCCCACGTCGATCGTGTGAGACACAAGCCAGGACGGAGGAACAAGTTGCATGGTGACCTCGAGGCTCTGTTCTGAGATGTGGTAGTCTGGACAATATGAGAAGTGTTGTGTTCGGAACGTTCGGGTGAACCGAAGTATCGATAGTGGCTGCCATCGACGTGCAGTGTTGACAGTACGACATCTGCATCTTTGGGGTCTACGACCATGGATTGCCATGCCTTGTCGTAATTCTTGGCTTACTTGGGAGTCGACATACACGTTGTCCATAACGTAGCCACTGCCTCCATGCGGACTGTGTTTGCTTGGGCTCACAGTCAACTTCTCCATCGCCGCAATAATCTGCTGTGTATTCGTCAAGGTCATCTCCGTGACCTGTCGACTTGATCTCCGTGCTGTTATATCCGCATCGTATCCTGCCAGGAGGCGTTGAGTGTCTTGTAAGATGCGTTCTGTTCTCGTGGAAGTGATCGCTAGGTTCTGGTCGATATGTTCGACGCAAGGAACCAGTTGTGCTGTACTCGTTGCAATCTTGTTCGACGTGCTGTCTACTGTCTTAAGGAGAGTCAAGGTCTCGCTAGCATCAAGCTGCGTCTGGTCTGTAGTCGCCGCGATACTTGATGCGACCTTGCTGTATGCTAGTCAGTACAGTGGTATTCTCCAAGCCAGGCAACCAGCTTCTCCATTTATCAATGCCCTACTTACAGATTCGCTGCTTCCAACCATAAAGAGAGGATGCTCTTCTTCTGTTCGAGTCGATCGCATGTGCTTGCTACTTCCTCCTTCTTACGGACAGAACAAATAGCATCCCAGCCTCGTTGCAGCACTGAATCGTTCTTGTGAGCGAGCAATGCTTCCAGTGTCTTGCAGAGCTCCTCAGCAAGGTCTAGATACTCGAGTAGAGGCGTGTCAAACTTGGAGGATGAAACTGTCGTTGCAAAGCCAGACAAATGGTGATTACGTATATGCTGGGCGATCTCGATTTGCTGACGTAGGTCGGTTTGAAGCTGAGCAAAACGACGCGGTACATTGCGCACGTCCGAGCAGAAGCGTTCGAGGCAGGATGAAAGGCGCAAAGCTACGTCCACGAACTGGACAACGGCGGCGACGGTGCCTACCACCTCCGCCATCTGAGGTATTGTAATGAGAAAGATGAGTGCCAGCAGTGGGGAATAGGCTCATATGTATTGGCACGGCTGACGAAGCCTATCTTGAGCGAATAGAATGCGTGCATGATCATGTACATGGTGTTGGCGAGGCTGAGCTTCAGCCTTGTAACCAGATTGATGAAGGCGATGAATTCAGGTCAGGGTCTCGCCGTGAGCCACGTGTCAAGCACGGGTGATTCAGAGATGCCGGGCCGTACATGGCACTTGCTGTAGATTGTTCACATTTTGATGGTGAAAGTAAAAGTGAAGGGAGGCGTGGATGAGATGGATGGCAGCTGCTGGACCCTGACGCTAGTAATCATCCACGGTTAGCGCCACATTCATCGGAATCGCCTTCCGAGAAGGCGCGGCGACAATCGTAAGCTCTTGGTAGCCTAACCGCCTTCTCGAGGCTTCTGATGCTTGCTCAGCTTCGTTATCACACACTGTCGCCTCCGTGTCAGCTCTCTAGCATCTTCTTCACTCAGCCTTCTGAACATATATCATTCCCATATCCATCACAACCATGGCAGCCAACGAATCAAGCTACACCGAGATGAAGGGCGACTTGGAAGCAATCGGGGCGCATTGCCAGATGGAATACTGCAATGTACTAGACTTCCTGCCATTCCGCTGTGAGAGCTGTCACGGGTAGGTACCCAACTCCCTCCAGGCTACGCGTCCCGCGCGTACCTACACACCATACACCACCATACTAACACCCACGCCCAGGAAATTCTGCCTCGACCACCGCACCGAATACGCACACAAATGCCCCAAAGAAGGCGAATGGGCGCGTCAAAAAGCCAAAAACGCCCAAAACACCACGCCATCCGCCCCCAAACCCAGCGTCTGCAACCACGACTCACAATGCGCCGACCCCTCCTGCAAGACCTTCATAGACACCGCGCGCGCCCAAGGCGTCCACTGCCCCCGCTGTAACAGACGATACTGTCTCAAACACCGCTTCGAAGAAGACCACGCCTGCTCCACCCTAACGCCCCTTGGCGCGCGCCCCCAGAACTACGTCCAAGCACGCACGCAAACCGCTCTCACTCGGCTAAAAGCATGGGCGGAACAAAAGAAGAAAGATGACGAGAAACGGCGTTCTTCATCCAAGAAAACAGGCGGTTTCCTCGGCCTAGGCAAATCCTCCTCCTCGACAGCATCATCCGCCCAAGCCGAACTCAACGCCCTCAAACGCGTCGCAAAAGGCGAAGCCAGCATCCCCGCCGAAAAACGCATTTACCTACACGTCGAAGCCTCGGCTGATACAACCAAAGCGAAATACCCCACGGGGAAATTCTTCTACAATAAAGAGTGGACAGTCGGGCGCGTGTTGGATATGGCGGCCAAGGCGCTGCAGGTGCAGAATGTGAACAATCGGGGTGGGGGCGAGGAGGAGAAGTTACGGGTTTTCCATGTGGAAGGGGGGCGGTTGCTCAAGTTTAGTGAGAAGATTGGGGAGCCGTGTCAGAATGGGAATATGATTGTGCTGTTGAGGGGGGTGGGGAGTGGGGAGGCGCCGGATTTGATTGATTTGTAGGTGGAAGGGGGGAATTAGGAGTGAGCAGTTGGGGGTAGAGAGACCATTGCATGGCGTGGCGTTTCGCGGTTGTGTTTATAGCGCTGGAGATACCCTGATGCCTATGTGGCATGATTGAATGAATCGAAGTATGAGCAACCATATATCCGACGACGTTAGTGGAGATTTTGAACAAACATATGTCAAGAGCCTACATATCTCATCGAAGGCGTGACTCAGTATGTCAACTTCCCTTTAGCAAGGAACAGTACGCCCGGCCTGACCACTCATGACCATAGACGTAAGCTTGATACGATCATTATATTTAGATTTATCCTTATTCGGTACTGATACAGCACTAAGTAGGCGTCGAGCACTTCGAACGCCGGTGCCATCTCCCATCGCATGTATATGCAGAACCCCAATGTAAACGCCAATGCCAACGCTATATCGCATGAACCATGCCCTTGGTATATAACCACTGCCCTCTCTGCTTGTGTGCTTGACCATGTCGCGCCATACGACCAGCACACGTCGGTGTGGTATGCTTCTGACCTTCCTGGACGCGTCTCAGTCTCCGCGGCGGAGGTGTATCGTTCGTATCCGTAATGTGGGTTGTGCCGTCGTGGTGCGACGAGTGCTACTCTTTCTGGATCGAATCTCGCTTGACGTATTTGTCGCAGCATGCATCCGCCTCTTTACATCATTCTTCGTCCATTCAGTCGTCCTCGTGCTCCTTATTACTGCACTTCAACCCATGTATCTTTGTCCCCCAACCAACACTCCCGAGGTTATTCGCGCCATCGGAAATAGTGAGAAACTGATCCAGGTTTTCGTCGCCGCTGCAGTCATAATTGCTGGCATACTGTCAGTTCCCCATCATTAACCTCGACGCCAACCACCAACAATAAACGTACTCATAAAACCGACAGCTCCAGTAGTCATCCCTGTCCAACACAGCCTGGACATCGTGCCCGCCTACTAAGATACTTTGCACGCGCCCATCGATGCTGTAACCTTGTGTTAGCCTTTCTCCTTCAATCATACGCGAGAGCGACAGGTGTGCGCAACATACAGATTATTATCCAGCGACAGACACTGATTATTATACGCGTCGACACTGACTTCGCTGAGGAACGACGGCGCAGCAAAAAGCTGCACTTTGATCTTTGTGCCGCTGATGGTATCGTCGGCGAGTGCGGAGCCCGTCCAAGCCAGCAGTACTGCGGACACGGAAACGAGGCGGCTACTGGGCTTCATATCGGCGGCATGCGATGCGTCCGAGGCGTCGCGCGAGGGGTCGTGCGTTTACGTGGGTAATAGGCGCGAAGGGCAGGGCGCGGTGGTCGGGGTAAAGCGTTCGTGACGGCGTCAAGGGCAGGCGTGCGACCAGCGATGAGGAAAGGATGAAGTCGGTGGTGGATGACGGCGGGTGTGTGGGTCGGGGGTCAGGTGGGCGATGTGGTTGGGTGGAGTGGAGGAATGCACCGCCTCCTCATTGCCGTTATGACCGCACGGACGTTTGCGACGGGGTCGTGACTGCCAATCTCCCTATAACCTCTGCATAGCTTGTCTTCACGATGCGGCAATGCGATGCGCGATATATGTCGTCTCGGTGCTAGATAGACTGCGAGCTTGTGCGATTAGACGGTGCGTATATGGCTAAAGGCCGCGTGTGCTACATGGCTAGCCCTCGAGTCCGCTGCTCGACTTGACGTCACATGCTATTCCACAACAATATTGCGCCTACATAGTTAGGACGGCTTAGGGCCCGGTCATGTTCACTATAGAGGGAACGAAGGGCCTTTCGGGATTACAATACCGATGTCCTTATCGCATGCTGTTTATCGCGAGGTTACAAGGTGGTAGATGTGCAGACATGTCGCAGTCTCGCAGAGCGTTCGATCCTGAAAATGCGGTTTCGACTATCTCGGTACGATTAGTTCCCGAGGGATTGGAGCAGGGCGATTTTCGCGGACGATGTCGCGGCGAAGACAGTAGACGAGTAGTCATTACCATCATTCCATTCTATCTTTTATGCAGTCTAAATGACGACCAGGACTACTGATACACCAAACTAAAACACATTCCTCGTACTGGTGACCTCGAAATCTGTAGTCACCATCACATTATCTTTCCCATCTTGCAAGCGTGACCCATCAGTGGTTCCAGTTGGTGTAGGGCTAGCCTTTCGGTCCAGAAAAGTCAACTCCATTTCATCGTCCATAGTGCCGCCCTGAATATTCGAGCTGTGCCCATTGAAGTTGATACCTTTGCTACCAATCGTTTTGCCGGAGCCAGCTTGCAGATAGCCTGAGTTGCTGCGGTTGGATGAGGTAGCGGGTGTGGGTTTGATGATGAGTGCCTTTAAGGACGGGAGCGAGACGACGATGACGGCTGTGCACATTTCGGCCGTGCACCAAAGGTCTGGGGGCTGTCAGTGGAGGCTTGGGGACGTGAGATGGGAAGCGTGACGTACTGCCGTCGGCGTCGGCGATGTCGTAGTCCATGTTGTAGACGATGAAACGGGCGAGACTGATGGCCATGGTGATGGCGCCCAGAGAGAAGATTCCGACCAGGCCGACCTTTTGTCTTCTACGCAGCTTCAAGCAGTTGAAAATGAAGAATGGCAGGCCGAATACTAGGAACGCTGTTAGTGCATGTTTTAGGAAGTGGCCTTGGTCTACTTACGCAGCAGATCCGTGCCAAAGTTGAGTGTCCAGTTGACTACCAAGTTGGAGTAAGTATTCCATGTTGAGTTGAGCTGGTTCTCGATAGACCTTTTGGAAAGTAGATGTTAGCTAAGGAACAACTTGATCGAAGTAAGGGTAAAGGTCGTACCAGTTGTCGGAGATATTTGGCGCGAGAAGAGTATCGCACAGTATGCTCGCAACAAAGCAGGCGATCACGATCGCAGTAGTGGCATAGACTGCGTAACGAAGACGTCTGAAGCCTTGCGGGATCAACCACCAGTAGAAAGCCACCAGCGAAACTTTGGGGAAGTACAACCCCGTGTCGAAGAAGTAGATAGACACGAATACGACCTAGCAGCAAACACCTGTCAGCTCACTCGTCTCGTTGCGTATCTCGAAGGTCATGTTTTTGACGTACTTTCAGGTATTCGACGGAGTCGCTCCTTGTCTCCTCGTCCAGAGGATGATCAATCAAGATGTAAAGCGCTCTTGTAGAGCAGGCAAACCATCCAAGCGCGCAGATGAAGCCTCCCCAAACGAGGTAGTCGGGTAGAGTCAATGAACGGTGCTCCATACAAAGACGGACCCAACATCTTAGGATCGTAACACCCAGTGCCAACACGAGGAGTATCCCCTGGATAACCTGTAGATGTGAGTGAGACTTCAAATCATTCGGACTCGCGTAGTTCTTACGATAGAAGTGACTATCTCCATCGCGGCAGCATACACACACAGTATGTGTGGCCGGTGGAGTTTAAGTTTGCCCCAATGGGAACAAACGGAAAGAAGTGGTGAGTGAGGTCAAGTGCGAACTCTACTTGGGGTTGTTTGACATCTTGACACCTGCATATAGCGGGCAGCGCGAAGCCTAGGGTCAGGGTAGGTTAAAAGGGAGTGGTACGATCCGGCGTCTTGTGCTACACGTCGGAATCATGAGTCGCATAGTTCCAGGCGGCTGGTAGCGTCTGTTCCGTGCTGATCAGTAGTCGATCAACCGGCTCCGCGGGCACTGCGGGTGAGATGAACCTTTTTTTCCTTTTGCTTAACGGGGAAGAGAAGCTTCGGTATTCTGCGAATACGAGCTTCGCACTGACGTGACGACGTTGCCGGAACGTCATGAGGTTCTCGCGACGTTTGTACGCGCAAGATAGCTGGCAGATATCGACAAGCTTCACTTTCAAGGCGCGGCGTCTCGGACGTGAGCGGGAACATTCCCCGTCCCGTCCATAATTTATCTTAATCTTGCCGCGAGTTGTTCAGTCTCTGTCGTCGGGCAGGCATTATGCATCCACGGACCTGACAGAGGGAGCTGAGCAGACAATGAAACACCAGTACCATACCAACACATCACTAGAAGAAGCCGAAGCAGCTCGAGAACTTCTGGGCCACGAATCGGGACTCTCGAATGCGAAGAGAACGTGGTAAGCTAAGTGTGGGCGCCGTCACGAAGTGCTTGAGTCCCTCCGTGTCCTTGGTTGAGCTTGTCGCGGAGCTACCGCACGCTACAGATCTTTTCTGGGATATCCTCGTGGCTTCTGCCCAGCCGGTCCAGTTTTGCGTTAAGACAGCCTCGTGGCGATGGACGACGCACGCTTGACTCGCGGCAGGGTCAGATAGCAGTCCAACGACTTGGCGATTTCGCGGGGTTGCCTCCGATCAGCATGCAATCCCTCGGAGTGGTCGCGGTCGACTTTCCCTCGACGTCGTCGGTCCTTCTTCACTCATGAAGCGACTGGGAACCTGCGTGCGCGTCTGACACGCCGTAGGCTAAATGTCTTTATTTTGCGATCGAAGGCGTTCCGTAGCGCCATGGTGGATTCCTTGTTTCTCCAAAAGCCCCGACCCTAGATTCCACAATCATCGCGCACTGATCTACAGATCTCTGTGGAGTGGGCCAACGGACCCGTGGAGATGGCCTGGATCTGAGGTCGAGGGTACAGTACCCTTGGCAAAATCAGCGTCTGGTGTCGCAGCCATGCTCCGACCCTCCAGGGGCTCTGCGCTAGAGGGGAATGACGCGACATCAGCAAACCTTATACAGTAGGGCCAACTGTGCCACTTTGACATCTGGATCATGTCAATAGGCTTACAGATTTCCAGATAAATGAGCTTGGTATGGAGCGCGAGATTCCTCGGCACAAGATATCTCGGCAAAGTCAAGAACATAATGCGCGACTCTTGATCGCGCCATTCTGGTAAGTCGCCTTGAGAGGGGAGCGCAAACTGGTGACGCTTGTATATCCTCCTTGGGGACAAGACAAGATCCAGGTATCGTCGCGATGTAAGAGCAGGATGTGGTAGAAAGCGGTCCAACCCAGCCTGCCACGCAATGCAGGCCGTCGCAGCTTCCTAAATTGAGATGACGATGAGCTGATATCATCAAGAAGATTCGAACAGTTCAAAAGTAGCTCTTTTCGACCATGGGAGCCGATAGAAGACATTCGATGCGATACAGAAAAGATGGCGGTGGTTCTGGTGTTCTGGAGATTATGGACGGCATTGGTGATGACGGCACGCACGAAAGACCTGGTCAAAGCTCCTCGCCGAGTAACTGCACCCGTGCACTCGTCCCGATTCATCCCGCCTCAGCGGAAGGGACCATCACAGGGCTTCCAGCATGTACAATGTCACTGAGGCTCCCTTCGCCGATATATCTTCACTGCCTCAGAATTGAGCCGCCCTCGAGACGCCCTTGTCGTGGCTGCGTCACCGCTTCGTTGCTTCCTGCTACTTGGTCCGACCCTCCCGCAATGCCGGTCCCCTTAGCAGCCGCACCGCAATGGTGTATACGACAATAGCAACGAGGCTCGCGCTCGCCCACGTCCCGTAAGACTGAAAGTATGTGAGGTCCCTCTGCTTGTAGCCAGCAATTTGCATCGACGTCGTTCGCAAAAGCCCGCTGAGAGAGCCAATGACCAGATAGTCCTTCAGACCAACATTGGCAAGATTCATCTTCAATGCGCGCTGATATGGTGGAAAAGAACGCGTTGATGGAGGATGGGTAAGCAATTAACGACTCAGCAGTGGCTTGGAAGGTTCTGATGACAAAATTTTCCGCGGCTATGGCATCTAAACGATCGAGATAAGAGTGGTGGATGTAGGCTTCGGGATTTCGGTTCTCCATGCAGGGCTGAGGCACTCCTAGCTTGGCAACCTGAGAACAAAGAAACACCCACCGATCACTTTTCATATCGGCGCTACGGCATGTTGACAATGCTCCCCACGACAAGAGAGAAGTTCACAAACGACGAGCGGCGGAACAGAGCGTTGACGCGACATCTATGGCAGCCGAATTGAGAGCATCCCGAAGTTCTCCGCCCACGTGCTGCATTCACAAACCTAATTCGCTTATACCGCATGCTCATCTCGCACTCCCAGCCAAAGTCCTCCAGAGGCTGCGATGAACGCCCCTTTGCGGCCATGATCCCAGTGTTGGACGGCTTTCCGTGCGCCGGCACCACAGCCCGCTTGCGCCTTTGTCAGGGTCTCGGAAGCCAGTCTTCCACCCGGTAGTAGTGAACGCCTGAAATGTCACTTTTAGTGACAAGGCTGGATTAAAGCATGCTGACAAGCAATCAAACATCAATGCCGGGAACACTTTTACCCCGCGCTCTCCTGGCATCCCTCACCACCAGGCAGCGCTTCATCGCAGTCAATACAGCTACATCAATCTCGAGCAAAGAGCTTAAGAAACAATGGCGGTGCAGCAAGAAGAGCTGCGATATGCAGACGGCTTTGCTGAGTACGGCAACTTCTATGGCGGACCATCCTTCGAATACCTTGCGCCCCACCCGTCGATATCTCCAACAATAACAGGAAAGGCTGACGAGAATGCCACTTATCCGAACCATACTCACAAGGTGCCGCGAAAGCGGCAAGAGGCAGCAAGTCTTCCATTGGCATCTTCCATTACTGGGTCTGGGGCCAGTATCGCTATGCAGCCACTCACAGCCGATGGCATATCTCTCCAGTCTGGCAACGTCTTCTCACCACTGCGCGAAGGACCGTTACTATCGCATAACCCTCAAATGGAACCCTTTTCCGAGCCCCCAACCAATGGATCCTCCCGACCTCCAGAATGCAAAGACTCGCAAGCTGTTCGGCCACAATTCCCACAACGCGCGTCGAAGTCTTCTCCACCACAGCCTTTACGCTTCCTGAAACATGCATCAACAGTCCCTCCCACTCCTCCCATGTCTTGGGGGAGCACCGATAGCACTGAAGACGGTCTGTCAGACAGGATGCAATCCATGTATATCGCTTTTGATCATCCTTCGCCCTCCACTTCGACACCACAACCACTGAAGGTCGTCCATGGCATCTCTGAGCGTGTGAGCACTACCTACATGGCGAACGGTAATCGCAGCTCTAGCATGGGCTCATCCGTATTGCCAGATCTACCTGGGGGTCTAGATCAGTCATCACGAAGAAATATCTCTATATCCACCACGCAAAGTATAGAGAGTGAAGCATCCGACATGAGTCCCGGCGATGCTCGAGCTGAGATACTGCGCAGACTGAGCAGGAAGGAGCCTCCATCAGATCGGAAGGGTGCATCTCCTTTCAAGAAGAGCTTCCTACTCAAAAGAGCGGCTACTACGCCAAATCCAGCTAGTAGCCCATCACAAAACGACCTGACCGATATTCTCGAAGAAGCTGCTGCAGAGGGTAGTCTTTCACTGGTCAGGGCAGTCATCAATATGGGAGCTGATCCTATTTATCGATCAACTGGTAAATTGAAGAAGGTAAAGCACGAGGCCTTAGCGAAAGCTACCATGAACGGACGAGCCAGAGTGGCCGACTATCTCTTGAGAGAGGGTGCCACTTACGGAGACGCAACGAAGAGAGAAGACTACACTCCAATGGATCGCGCGCTCTTGGCGGCTGCCTACAAGGGACATGCAGACCTCATCGATTGTCTTGTATATCATGGCGCAAACCCAATGGTCGAGCAATGGCCAAGAGAAATGTATGATGCGCAACACTACTGGAACGAAGTACAGGTTCGCGTCACGAAGACCAGCTTCCTTGATGGCCTATCGAAGTGGAAAAATGTCGATCGCGGTATGAGCACCCTTAACCTCGTCATGCAACATCATAACTTCGATCCCACGGCCTTCGTGTCCGGCGCATTCGACAACAAGAGCGAAATTCAAAACGCTGGTGTCACAAATCGCCCGTGGCAGACGACGTACGAGTACTCTGTTCTGTCTTGCTTCGTTCGTGCTGGATGGGCAGATGCAGTGGAAGAGATGTTGAGCATGAAAGGCATGCCGAGGGACTATGAGAAGGAAGACGATGTTTTGCTGCACCAAGAAAAGCTTACAAGTCTCGTATCACCAATCAACGCGTTGACCAAAGAGACCTGGAATAAGCGACCGGAAGACGCACTTCGCATACTAAGGCTACTGATCGACAGAGGCTTCAATCTATGTCTCACGCAACGGACGGCTACAGATCTGGGCCCAAGGACAGCGCTCAGCCGTGCGATCTCAGCAGACGCTGCACAGGCGGTCGAACTCATCTTGCAGACCAAAGGCAGTTTGGTACGAGAGGAAATCTCGTTCCGACGAAACAAGAAAGAGACCAAAGCACTACCGCTCGCCACTGCCCTCTCACTCGACTCGCTGGAGACAGCGCGTGTGCTTCTCAGAGCAGGCGCACATCCCCGCGACCCAGCTTTCGAAGACATGAATGTACTGCAATTCGCCGCG